TGGACCCTTTCCAATTTTCTTGTTCCTAAGCCCTGTACCATTTCCAGGTCTGGTTCATCAGCTCTCTTCCACCTTTATTTCAATCCCTGTTGTGATTTCAGAAGCATTCTTTCTACCTTCTAGAATTGCTTGTTTCTCCCACTAGAGAAGAGTTTAGCCAGTGTTTTCCGTCTATTTTTCTTGCTTCTACTTCCAGACTGTGGAGATTGCTGAGAATTGCCAGTTAGGAAACCTTGCTTTTTGTGTTGGCCACAAATTCATGTGGGTTTATTTTTTTTTAGTTTGATTTTAACCTAATCTGGTTGCAACACAGTATTTGGTGATCTTTATAAGCAATTCTTTTTCTAATTTTTACTATACCAAAGGAAAAATAAAATGTTTTCCATGGAAAACAGATTTGTTCCTTGTTTTTTAAATTTTAGACATTATCCTTTGTCTTTGATAAATTCTTTCCCCAGATCTTTTTCTCTCTCTCTCTCTTTTTTTTTTTTTTTTGAAGTAATATTAGGATCTTCCACCTCCATTATCTTATACTATCTTTTTTTCTCTTGTTTTATTTTTGGGAGAGTTCCTTTTCTAAGCTTTCTCTCTTTTTTTATTTTTAAAATTTTAAAATTCATGATTGTAATTTTAATTATCAAAACTTATTTTTGTGTTCTTTTTTCTTTTTAGAACATGCTGTACTTGTTTTATTTATTTTAAAAAAAATTTTAATGTTTTATTAATTTTTTAAATGTTTTTATTTATTTCTGAGAGAGAGAGAGGCAGCGTGAGCAGAGGAGGGTCAGAGAGAGAGGGAGACACATAATCCGAAGCAGGCTCCAGGCTCTGAGCTAGCTGTCAGCACAGAGCCTGACGTGGGGCTCAAACCCACGAACTGTGAGATCATGACCTGAGCTGAAGTCGGATGCTCAACCGACTGAGCCACCCAGGTGCCCCATGCTGTACTTGTTTTAAAGCTACAGTATCTTTCCTTTGACAGTCTGATATTATTTATAGTTTTAAAATTTTACTATCTTGGGTTTGGTTTCTGTCTTTTATGTTGAAAGCTTTCTTTGAAATGTTTGGAATCAGTTGTGAGAAAACTCCATGAGTCTCTTGGGGAGAGTGTTGGGATTAGGGTCTTGGTTATCACTGGCTTCAACATTTTGTATGAAAATGTGGGCAGGTAACCAGGAGTCTGTAGAATGTTGTGTAACCACTTCGTTTCCAGATGGCACCTTACCTCTGCCTCCATACAGTGCTCAGAGTCCCCCAGGTTAGAATCTGTCTGATCCAGTTTCTCCAGAGTAAAGGATTTCCACATGAGGGAGGAGGGGGCTTGTTGCTTAGCTGCTTATTAGCACAGGGGAGAAAATACGTGGACTTTACTCCCTTTATATTATAAACTTGTTTCAACTCTACTTCTTACCCTACACTTCTTTAGGTATTAGCCTCTTCCATAGTTTATAGAACTTTGTAGAACATTACTTGCTTCCTGTTAACCTCTTTTGTATGTCTGAAGGTACCAGCTTTTGCCTCTGAGACAAGTCAGTCATTTGCTATGTACTGCGAATCTCTTTGGGTCTTTGTTCTTTTGAGTTTTAACTTTCTATCTCTTTACTGTCATTCTGCTGTAGTTTTGGGAGAGAATGGAGATGCATACATGGATCCATCCTGTTGTGCTTAAAAGTAATTCCATTTATGATGCTCCTATTCATTATTTAACACATTTCTTGCTTGTGTATTTCTTTTAATACAGCGTTAGCAACCTTATCTGAATCAACTCCATAACTAATAAATTTACTTTCCAGTTTATGAAAATAATAATTTTAACGAACTTTCTCTAGGCTATGCAGGGTGGTGATTCTTTTTTTGTTTTGTTTTGTTTATTTGAGAGAGAGACAGAGATAGACAGACCATGAGCAGAGGAGGGCCTGGAAGAGAGAGAGAGAGAGAGAGAGAGAGAGAGAATCCCAAGCAGGTTCTGTGCTATCACAGTGCAGAGCCCCACACGGGGCTCATTCTCCTGAACTGCAAGATCATGACCTGAGCCAAAATTAAGAGTCAGATGCTTAACTGACTAAGCCACTCAGGCACCCCTACAGTGTGTGATTCTTGAGAATAGAAGAAAACAGTCCTTGTCATCAAATAACTTCTAATATTTCAGATATTACAGTTATATATACATATCCTATTTTAAATTGTCAGTAGATGTTTAAACAGCCACCTATAAAGTCACTTCTGTATGCTTCACATGTAGTACATCCTTTGATCATCACAGTAATCCTATGAGTTTGATGTTTTCCTTATCCTCATTTTGGAGATGAGGAGCCTAAGAGAATGATGAAGTTGTATTTCATAGGTACCCAGTTAGTGATGAAGGCTTTGTTAGAATCCAGAGTCTTGGACTTCCATTTCCACCTTCTTAGGTAACACCACTACATAGTGCTGAGGATGCCACAGGAAGATACTTAATTCAGCCTGATAATGATAAAAGTTTAGAGAAGAGTTCCAAGAGAATTGTGCCTAAGCCCAGTCTTGGAAAAATTGGGCTAGCTGGGTGGAGTACCATTTTAGTTAAGTAATCTTAGCTCAAGATCTAACTGTATATTTCCAGTTCTTCTCTTTATTCTCTTATGTTTTTGAGAAAGACAATGTTCAGCTTGGGAAACATTTTTGGATGGTCTGCCATTTACCTTACCAGAGCTTGTGCCTTCATTTGAGCTTATGAGATCTTTTCCTTTTTTGTTAATGTCATAGGCTGTTGATCTATCCTGACTGGTTTTATTTCTTCCCAATTAGTCTTCAGCATGCTGCAACCTGGCTTCTTTCATAGCACACTAATTCAACTAGGCAGTTACTTTCTTATAAGGAAGATCAACAGATATTGTTTTCAGCCCATCTTTGATTAGATTTCTTTGCTATATTTAGTAGCGGTAATCATTCCTTTTTCGAAAGCTTTGCACCTTTCTGTTTATACACTGCCTCTTCTCATTTGCTCTATTGCTTTTCGTCCTGCCTACATTGGTTGCTCCTTATACTTTAGTTTCTTGAGATTTTTATCCTTGGTTCGTTTATATTTTCATCTACTTGTAATCTAAAGACTTTCTAGTTATTGGGCCTTTTCCTTGCAAACCTATAGTGATCGGTCTCTTAGGTATCTCTCCTTGGATTTCCAACAGCTAACTCCCATTCAATCTAAAAGAAAACTCATTGCATCCACTGAAACAGTTTGTACTTTATTTTGTTTTAAATAAAAGTGGACCTTATGGCCCACCTTGGAATCAAAGCTAAAAATGACTGTTTGACTTCTTCCTTATTCCCTGAGTTTAACCATTATGTGTTTTATCTCCTTAAAACACACACAAGCATGCATACTTTTTTCTTTCCTTCTTCTCTTCTCCATCTCCCTCCTTTAGACCCTTCCTCCCCTAACCCCCCTCCCTGCTACCACTGTCCTGCTTTTGGCTGTCTTAATTTCTCACTTAGACTTCTTTTTTTTTTTTTAATAGTTTATTTTCAAGTTAGTTTCCATATAACACCCAGTGCTCATCCCCACAAGTGCCCTCCTCCATGCCCATCACCCATCTCCCCCTCCCTCCCACCCCCACCTGCCCTCAGTTTGTTCCCGGCATTCAGGAGTCTCTTGGTTTGCCTCCCTCCCTCTCCCCCACTATTTTTCCCCTTCTTCTCCCCCATGGTCATCTGTTAAGTTCTTCCTAATTCTCCTATACGTGCAAACATATGATATTTGTCCTACTCTGCCTAATTTATTTCGCTCAGCATAACACCCTCAAGTTCCATCCATCTTGCTACACATGGCCAGATTTCATTCTTTCTCATTGCCATGTAGTATTCCATTGTATAGATAAACCACATCTTCTTGATCCAATCGTCTGTTGATGGACACATAGGCTCTTTCCATGTTTTGGCTATTGTTGAGAGTGCTGCAATGAACATTACGGTACATGTGCCCCTATGCATCAGCATTTCTGTATCCCTTGGGTAAATTGCCAGCAGTGCTATTATTGCTGGGTCACAGGGGACTTCTAGGGTTAATTTTTGGAGGAACCTCCACACTGTTTTCCAGAGGGGCTGTACCAGTTTACATTCCCACCAACAGTGTAGGAGGGTGCCCGTTTCTCCACATCCTCACCAGCATCTAGAGTCCTCTGATTTGCTCATTTTAGCCACTCTGACCGGTGTCTCACTTAGATTTCTGTTGATAGTGTTCTAACTGGTCTCGTGCCTCTGGTCTCACCTTCATAAATCTATTTTCCACAGTAAGCAACGTGTGTAACATTCATTTCTGATCATATTCCTGTGCTGAAATCATTTTGGTGGCACACCATAAGCTACACAATCAGATCTCAGCAAACTTTTCTGAAAAGAATCAGATATTAAATTATTTAAGCTTTGCAAGCCCGATGATCTTTGCTGCAACTCAGATCTGCCCTTGTAGTGGGAAAACAGCCACAGACAATCCGTAAGCGAGTAGATGTGGCTGTATTTTCATAAAACTTTATTTATAAAAACAAGTGATGATGTGGATTTGGCCTGTAACCTGTAGGCCTGTGATTTGGCCTGTGAAGAACCTTACAATTTGAATTTTAAATTCCCTAACTAAGGCACCACAGGTTATGGCCCCTTTATTCTTCTGTATACCTGCCTAATGTCAACCATAGTCTTACTTTTTACACTACATTTTTTCCTCTGAATACTCCATGTAGACATCAGTCCTTGCTGTTTCAGAGTTGTTTGCAGCAGTGTCTTTATGGATCTGTCTGCTTTTCTGGGCATCAAGTTATTTTTGTCTTGTACATTTCTTATTACTAGATTGTAAATTTTCTGAGAGCAGAGAAAGTGACAACTGTATATCCCGTGCAGCACTAGCATACTCTTTACACAAAATAGGAAATTAGTAAATGTATTTGAATTCAATTGTTATTTAAACTATGTGCTTTTTAAAAACTAGATTTATGGTATAACTCAATTTAGAATTTGTCTTAAACTCCTAGAGACAAATAAAAAGTGGTGTGTTTTGGAAGGAGGCTTCTTGAGTTACTATGAAAATGATAAGTCTACCACACCTAATGGCACCATTAATATCAGTGAAGTTATCTGCCTGGCTATCCACAAAGAGGACTTCTATTTAAATACCGGGTAGGTTTACTATTACACAGGTAGGAGGTGACGAGTATTTTCTGATATTTATCATTCCAGATAATAAGAGTTTTGTTATTTTAATTCTTCATTTGCTTATTATAAAAGGGTTTAATGGTTTCTTGAAGCTTAATCATTTTACAGCTCTGAAAGTTCCTTAGAGAATTCGCTAAAAAGTAGAAAAACTAAAATATTATACTGGGTACTATGAAAGGCTAGCGTATTTGCATCTAATTTGAAATACATTTATAGCATTCCATTCTAGAACATGTAATCCTAAAATATTTATCATTTACTCCTTTAAAATCGAAGACTAATGTATAATTTATGCATTCATTTAATACATTATCATTCAAATAGGCGACAGAAGAAAACAGTCAGTGATGAGTTATTCATATTAAAATAAAAAACTAAATATATTTAATATCATATTGAAATGCCAAATTCCTTAAAGATTTGCTTTAGCTTTTAATGGTTTCAAAAAAGTAGCAATTAGAAGAGTAAGCATTATTTATTTAATATATTTGACTCAAAGAATGGTTTAATAAATTTTTGTAAGGACTTTTAAAAATAAGCCATCTAAGATACTTGGTGTGAAATTTACATTTTGTGATGTAATTAATGAAAAACTATACTAAAATCTTGATTGTTATATAGAAACATAGTATTTTAATATAAATTTTATGAGAATGGGAAGAGATTTGTAAAGCTTTGTGATTTACATAAAATTAAACATAACATAGTATTATTATGTGATGACCTGTATATACTCGTTGAGGTGACTATTTTCTAGTAAATCTAATTTGATTTTTTATGTAGAGAAAACTGATTATTAGTTGATTTTGTTTTAACTTTGACAGTGCTTCTTTCTAAATGAATAATTAGTATGGCTCACTGTGAAATTTAAAATAAATACATTCTAGTGTTCAGATGCTTAATTAGTAAATAAAACAGAATTTAAAATGTTACTACTTTATGTCAGCATATAATCATATCCAGAATTAAAACAGTCTTGATGGAATGTTCTTGGTACAAACAGACATGGCGGGAGAAAATATCTACAGTGAGATAAGGTTAGAAAATAATGATTGCAGCCATATTCTGAGTCTCCTGAAATAGCGTTTTCTAGAGTTTGAACTATGAATTGAGGCAGTGAGGAGTTACATACTTTTGTATTCGAGGAAGAAACCTGACTGAAATGGTAAGGGAGAGATAGGAGGTAGAGAGATGACAGGTACTGAGAGTTTACTTAGAGAGAGATCATTAAAAAGAAAAAAAAAATCCAGGAGTCTGAGAAAATCTTATGATTGAACTATGAGATTAACTGTCTGTCTGGATGAAGAGCTGCTGTTAAGAAGAAGAAATTAAACCCCAAGGTTTTGACCTTGGTGATAAAATAGATGGCCTCTAGGTTTGAAACATGAGGAAAATATAACCAGTTTGGGATAAAGAAAAAAAAGGGGGGGGGGGGAAGAAGAAGGAAGAGGACTTCCATGTAGGGTATTTTGAAGCTCTTTTAGGTAACAACAACATTGTACCTAGCATGTTCCAGGAAATAGTTGGAGCTATGGATGGATCCCAGGAAAGAATTCAGGACCTGGGATGTTACTCTAATTTTATCTGAGTAGGAAGAGACAGTTTGGGGATAAGATGAGATGATGGAAGGAAAATTTGTTAAGACAAGAAGAGGATTAATTAGAGAACTTTTGGACAATGTTTCCTTTAAATAGGTAATTCAGGATGGCCTGGTCTGAGAGAAGAGGAAACCAAAGAGAACCCTTTGATACTACATGGGTCAAAACTATAGGGCATTAACAAAGTCATGCAGTAGGGTGATTCAGTGATCAGAAGAATATTCCTTTTGTCTGATCCAGTGTATTCCATTTATTTGAATGAATTAAAGTATAAATCAGTGGGAATAGATGATAGATTTCAAAGCATTATCCAGTTTTCAAAGGGATTAATTTAATTAAAAACTTGACCTTTGTGTTGTTTCCATAAGAGTCAGAAATAAACAGTGGAACTTTTTATTCATGTGTGCTATAGGCCCATCTTTACCTTTGAGATCTATTTACCCTCAGAACGGGCATTTTTATTTGGAGCAGAAACATCTCAAGCTCAAAGAAAATGGACAGAGGCAATAGCCAAGGTATTTAAATATTGCATATTTATCCTAAGTCCAGAAAATATTCTTAACTTGGAGTCTGTGGTTGAACTTCAAAGGCCCAGGAAAATAAAATAAAAAACTTTTTACTTTATACAAGATTGTGGGGAAAAAATGTCCATACTGCATTAAGTTTTCAAAGGTTTTCAAAAAGTTTTCAAAAGAGATTAAGAGCTTCCTTCCTAGAGCCTTAAGCAGAGAAAAAATTACTTGGAGAAATCATTCTTTGAATTAATGCCATATTGTGACGATTAAGATCTTTTCACTATTGTAAAGTCACGTCTGTGTATGTCTCTTTAATAGGTAAATATGTTATTCATGATATACACAAAGGGGAAAGGAACAGATTCAGCAAGATACAAATGGAGACAAATGTTGAAGGTTGACATTTTGAAAAATGCCACAAATCAGCCTAGAGAATGTTTTCCTATTTCAATTCTGTATATATCAAAAATAGTGGTTTAAGATGATGCCTTTTGAAAATGCATTATAGCTGTTCAGCTGTAAGACTGATAGCAAGTTTAAATTTTTGTTACTTCTAAATTTTTAGGGTGAAAAACTATTTTTGTTTTTCTACCCTCAAATCTGTAGATAGGGAAGGGATTTCCTATTTTCACTGTCTTTATTACTTTTCTGTATTTGTTTTAACAGCATTTTGTTCCCTTTGTTGCTGAAAACTTAACAGAAGCTGACTATGATTTGATTGGTCAACTCTACTACAAAGACTGCCATACCCTGGATCAGTGGAGAAAAGGCTGGTTTTCTATGGACAGATCTAGTTTGCATTTTTGTCTTCCAATGCAAGAAGTTCAGGAGGATAGAATGCACTTAAGAAGACTGCAAGAGCTAAGTAAGATCGTTTTCCTCTCTCATCTTATATTTTGGGTACAGTTCTTTATTGCATATGATGGTAGTAGCATCATAAAATTATGATGCTTTCCTTCCAGACGTGACTAAGTACTGTTAATAAGTGTGTCTTTATGGGTATTTAGTGTCATGTTTTAAATGATATATTCATGCTCTTCTTCCTCCCTACAGCAATCAGCACAGTGGTTCAAAATGGGGAAAAAATAGATGTCTTGCTCTTGGTAGAAAAAGGGAGGTAAGTGCATTTTTGCTCTTTACTCTTTATTGTAATGCTTCTAGGCAGTAGGATATTTTGGTTATCTTCTTTGAGAGAGAATCTATTATTTTATAGCCTGTTGGCAGTTGTCTGAAGTATGTGTATGTGTATGTCTGTGTGTGTGTGTGTGTGTGTGTGTGTGTGTGTGTGTGTGTGTATATACAGACACACACACTTTTCAGTAGAAAGAATATACTAATAAAGCTTGTATATTTTTATATTATGACAAGATCAGTGTGATCAGTCATTTTAGTTTTCAATAGACTTAGATTCCTTTGGGGCATTCACATTTAAGTGAATTTTTGGGGTGCATATTGGCAGTTGTAAATGTATTTTTGATGTAGGTTTATGATAAATATAAATAATATCCTGAATTATCTATGCATGTGAGTCATGCAAAAATAAACTTGATTTCTTGAATTTATTCACTTAAACATAAGCAGCACCTCCTGCATATTAGGCACTGTTCAAGGTATTGGGGATATTGTGCTGAATAAAATTATTTTTATGCCCTCATGGTTTTCTGCTCTCACGGAACATGCATACTAGAGGTAGAAGCAGAATATGAACAGACAAAAAAAATAATTACATAGTTTTACGTGCACCAATTTTAAATACTTAAAGAAATATATTGTAAGGAGAGAGCCTAAAGATACAGTATCCTGTTTTAGATAGGGTGGTAAGAGATGTGCATGAAGCGAAGAAGCAGGCCATGCAGCGGCAGGAATAGAGTGTTCCAGGGATATCTTGAAGATCCTACATAGCTTAGCGTGTTCATGGTCTGCAAGCAGGCTGCTGTTGGCTGGGAGATTTGAATGAGTGAGAGGGTAGAAAGAAATTATTTCAAAAAAGAAAAAGAATTATATCAGAGATCTTCCTGGGCTTGATCATATAGGGCCTCACAGGTAAAAGATTTGTGTAAAGATTTGAATTTCATTCTGGGCATGAAGGGAAGCTGCTCATTTGGAGAGCTGGGAAGTGGAATGACCTGTCTTAGGTGTTTGAAGGTCTCCTCTGACTCCAGGGAAACACACTTTTGGGGGATGAGAGTAAAAGTGATTGTCCATTTACGATGCTGCTACAGAGGCCAGACCAGAGATGACTGACCTAATAAGACAGTGTTGAGGAGTGGTTGGAGCCAGTGTGAAGGCAGAGGCCAGAGGGTTTGTTCATTGATCAGATGAATGGGGTCAAGGATGACCCCAAATTTTTGGCCTGAGCAAGTACCTGAATGATGATGATGTTTTGTTTTGTTTTTTCAGATAACAAATGTAGGAGATTAGAGTTAGGATATTAATGTCAGTTTAGGGTAGTAGATCAAGAATTTGGTTTTGAAAATGGTGACATTGAGATGTCTCTTTGATAGCAGAGTGGAGCTGGTGAGTGGGCATATGGGTATGTAAGTCTGGAATTAAGTGGAGAGGTTGCAGCTGGAGGTCGAGGTTTGAGAGTCATTGGCTAAGGAACTGGATGGATTCACCTAGACAAAGAGTAGAGACAGAAGAGAGATTTGAGGATGAAGCTCCTGGGACCCCAATAATAAGAGGTCAGGAAGAGGAGCATGATACAGAAAAAGAGCCTAGGAAGGAACAGGTGGGGTCATATCACGATTAGGTATAAAATCTTGAGCAAACTTTTTTTTTTTCCTATTTTTTACCATTTGCTTTAAAATCCCTTAATTATGTTGGGGAGCCTGGGTCAGTCAGTCAGTTAAGCTTCTGACTTTGGCTCAGGTCATAGATCCATCTCACAGTTTTTGAGTTGGAGCCCTGCATGGGGCTCTGTGCTGAGAGCTCAAAGCCTGGAGCCTGCTTCGGATTCTGTGTCTCCCTCTCTCTCTCTCTCTGCTTCTCCCCTGTTTGTGCTCGCGCTCACTCGCTCGCTCGCTCTCTCTCTTTCTCAGAAATGAATAAACATTAAAAAAAATTTTAAATCCATAATTACACTGATGCAGTATGTTTAGCTCTACAGGAGTACAAGATAATTTGCAGAAACATCTATAATATAAAAATAGAGCTGAATTAGCCTCCCCTCTGGTTATATTTTCTTTGTTGGTGACACAAATAACAACTTTCAACAGTTATCTGAACCTGTCTTCAGTTTCATGGGAGGACATTAACAGCTTCAGACAGTAAGCATATTGCTGATCAGATATTAGTGTCAGAAGCTTTTTTTCTTTGAATTTATAGGCATAATTAGTATTTTTTTACTTGTTTATTTCTGGGATTATAAGTGTTTATGAGACTTGAGATTCTGATTTTTGGTACCAGATGATGGTTTCTCTGTACTTTCTGAGTACTGTTAATTATATATTCAGCAATAATAGGTAGTATTATGTTTAGATGGTTTTGTATTATTAAGGCACTAGCATAATGCAGGTTTACAATCATCTATCCGTATTTATGGAATGCATGCTCTTCATATTTATGGAATTTCCTTCCTTTGTGGCAGGAAAAAAGTGGTCCGCAATGCAGATTTGGAGTCTGAACTCCCAGAACTTATGTTTTTAAGCAAATAAATAGCAACTTGTAGTTGAATTTATTGTAGTTATCATTTATATTATCAGATTACTCTAGCTATGTTTTGTTTTGTTTTGTTTTACCATTTTCAGGCTAAGAGGAATTTGATCAAGGATACATAGATTTTAATTAAAATGTGGCTAACCTGGATTAAAATGTAGCAAACAGATTTTAGAATTGTTCAACTTGATGAATTTTTATTTAGTGCCTATTGCATGCAGTGGACTCCCTTGTGAATGTAAAATAGGAAACCCAGAGGACAAACATTTTGTTAATTTTGTATCATCCTGACCTTTCCACTGGACTACATGAATCAGGAGGTGCACTCAGATACACTCTGAGTTCATAGAGTAGTTGAAAACCAATGAAATTGCAAAATAATGGTCAAAGCTGCTTGTGTTTCTGATAATTTCAAAATTTTTATCTACATGAGTTATTAACAAGTTATATTGCAAACATTTTTACTTAAGTGAAGAACAAGGAATATGTCAGGAGTAGAAGAAAAATACAGGAACAATTATAAAACCAAGTTATTTTCCTTAAATCTCTTTGAACAGCTGTCATACAAAATATACCATTTGAAAACAACTGTATTTATCACATGCTTACATCCTGCTTTTACTTGCTTTTCCTGTTTTCTCCAAATCAATAATATTCTGACATTAACCAGAACACAATGATGAGAATGTATTGAACGCATGGTGTAACAGGTACTATTTTAAGCACTAGTAACAGCCTTATGGTGCCTATATGATGTTGACGAGGATAATCTGCGAGTCCAGAAATAAAGCTGCCAGTTATTTCACTGGCAAAAATGGGTTTATTTGGGAATACAGAATTGTAAGTAGGGACAAGCAAGCTACAATGAAAGCATTGGGCAATCCAGAGAGAAAAGAAAAGGAGTAATCTTTTATAGAGGCAAATGGGCACTTGTAGGGGCTTTTATAAACAAAAAGCCCTTTGGACTAAACTGGTAGTTTATAGAGACTTTTCATTGGCTGAGGTTTGATGGTCTCTCATTGACTGGGCAGTTGCTGAGGAGGAGAAAACCTTTCTTCCTCCTGCTGCTCTAGTAAAGATTGAAGTAATGGGCTTGGAAGATGCCCTGCCTGTTGGGTCTGCAATTAATTGACGGACTCATGTCTGTAAATGAGACTTCCCTCCTGACTCCATTCTAAAGGTTTTCTTTTATTTTCACAAGTCCATTTTGAAATCAACTTGAGGTCAGTTTGTAACTTAACCTAAAGATTTTTTTTAATTTTTAAAACAACTATTGTTTATTTACCACACCAAATCATTCTCAAGGATTAAACCAAAAGGGGCGCCTGGGTGGCTTAGTCATTTAAGCGTCCGACTTTCGCTTAGGTCATGATCTCGCGGTTCGTGGGTTCGAGCCCCGCATTGGGCTCTGTGCTGACTGCCAGCTCAGAGCCTGGAGCGGTTTCAGTCTGTGACTCCCTCTCTCTATGACCCTCCCCTGCTCACGCTGTCTCTCTCTCTCCTAGAAATAAATAAAACATTAAAAAAAATTTAAAAAAAAAAAAAAGAATTAAACCAACAAATGTACTAAGAGCCTGGATTAAAAAAGGAGAAGAAGGGGGGAGATGGTGGGGGAAAGGGAGAGAAGCAAACCAAGAGAGACTCTTGAATGCTGACAAAAACTGAGGACTGATGGATGTGGGGGGGCGGGGGGATGGGCATGGAGGAGGGCACTTGTGGGGATGAGCATTGGGTGTTATGTGGAAACTAATTTGTCAATAAACTATTTGTAAAAAAAAAAAAAAAAAAGATGGAGGAAATAAATATATTGTATACAATGGGGAAAAAATATGTTACCAGAATTTAAAATTTCAGCATTTTATTAGAAAAATTAAATTACTTTGTTAGAAAATATTTTGTTAGAAAAAAATATATATCTCCATATAATTCTTACCTAATTAAAGAGAGAGCTGTAAGAAGGGAGGTCAGAAGTGTGAGTCATCAAGAATCAGCCTGGGTAGGGTACCTGGGTGGATCAGTGGGTTAAGCATCTGACTCTTGATTTTGTCTCATGTCATGATCTTACGGTTCGTGGGATGAGCCCCATGTTGGGCTCTGCACTAATAGCTTAGAGCCTGCTTGGGATTCTCCCTCTCCATCTCTTTGCTCCTCTCCTGTGCACGTTTGCTTGTGCGCGCTCTCTCTCTCTCTCTCTCTCTCTCTCTCAAAATAAGTAAACTTAAAAAAAAAAAAAGAATCCATCTGGGAGATTGGGAGTGTACAGATTACAAACTCTGACAGAACATAGAGAATGCAGATGTACGAGGACATGCACCTTATGTGGGGCAAAGTAGGCTGTCATATTTATAGATCTGTGTATTTATATGTACATGTACACATATGTATGTATATATGTGTGTGTTTACATTTGTATATATTATGTGAATAAAATGGACTTCAAATAGGGAATAATGGCTAAAG